TTTCATGAATTATGCCATATTCAGAACATATTTGTTCAAAAGGAGCTACATACTCTCCACCCCTATCACTTCAGATTATTTTAATCCTTTTTCCAAGTTGATTTTCAACTTCGTTCTTATATATCTTAAAAGCTTCCACAACCTCGTCTTTGCTTCTTAATAAATATAAGTAGCAAAATCTTGTGCAATCATCGATAAAAGTAATAAAATACTTTTTACCCGTTCTTGTTTGCACACTTTTCATATCACATACATCAGTATGGATCAAGCCTAATGGTTCAGTACTCCTTTCCACTGAGTGAAAAGGCAACTTAGTCATTTTTGCTTCCATACAAATCTCACATTTCTTATGTGATTCAATTTTAGAATTAGGAATTAATTCTAAATTCATCAACCGTTTAATTGCATTTAGATTTACATGTCCCAATCTAATATGCCATAAATCAGAGTATTCAACGGTATAAACAAAAATAGGCTTTTCATTATCATTTAAAACGGTTACACGGCTCACAGCCATTACATTCATTTTGAACATACCCTTGTCGAGATAGCCACGACCAAGGAAAGTTCCAAACTTGCTAAGAACAAATTTCTTAGCATCAAATACCAACCTAAATCCATGCTCAACAAAAAGAGATCCGGAGACCAAATTCTTGCGGATGTCTGGGACATGCAAAACATCCATAAGCTTCAACTCCTTTCCAGAAGTCAGCTTCAGCACCACAGTGCCCACTCCAGCCACATCAGCCGTGGCGGAGTTTTCCATGTAAAGTTTCCGACTCCTAGCAGGAGTGTATTCAGAGAACACCTCCTTATCGGAACACACATGACGAGTGGCACCCGTATCGATGTACAACTCCCTTGTGTTATCCACCATATTGGCTTCAAACACCACAGCCGACATATCAAAGTCGGTCAGTTCACCCAGCACAGGGCCGTGTTCAGCCACAAGGGCACTCGGCTTACCTTTCTTTGGCCCAGACTTCTTTGGCCTCTTGCAGTCTTTAGCCATATGGTTCGGCTTTCTACAATTATAACAAGTTCCGATAAACTTCCAAACCTTGGCAGGCTGCTTCCCTTTGTCTAGGGACTTCCTCTTGCTCGAGTGGCTTTGCTCCAACAAGTTAGCACGAGCCTCTATCCTCGGAGTCTTCGCCGATGAATTATGATTGTCCTCCTCAATACGAAGACGAACAACCAGATCTTCAAGACTCATCTCCTTCCTCTTATGTTTGAGGTAGTTCTGGAAGTCTTTCCAACCTGGCAGCAGCTTTTCAATCACAGTCGCAACTTGGAATGACTCGCTTAGAGACATTCCTTCAGCATGGATATCGTGCAAGATAAGTTGAAACTCTTGCACTTGGGACACGATGGTCTTAGAGTCGACCATCTTGAAGTCAAGAAACTTGACGACGACGAATTTCTTCGCCCCTGCATCCTCAGTCTTGTACTTCTTCTCCAAAGCAGCCCAAAGCTCTTTGGCAGAACCAACTGAGCTGTACACATTGTACAACTCATTACTAAGTCCGTTCAGGACATAGTTACAACAAAGGTAATCACCTTGCCCCCAAGCTTCGTACGCAGTGCGTAGTTCAGCATTTGTCTCATTTTCAGCAATAACCGGGGGGTCGTCCTTCAGGTATTTCAACAAACCCAAAGTGGTCTGGTAAAAATGCATCTTTTGTTGCCACCTTTTAAAATCAAGCCCATTGAATTTTTCGGGCTTCTCACCAGTAGGGACATGGACAGCAGGTACATGATTGATCGGATGCTGAGTGTTGGAACCATTTCCGGTGGAAGCCATCAGTCCAGTAGGTTGAGATATTCTTCTTGCGATTGTCAGAAACTGAGTATAAAATACGCGAGAATCCTACGAACTGAATATGTATTTTTCAGTTCTTACAAATAATCTAAAAAATAGAAAATTACAATCGAACTGAAAAATAAATTACAACTGAAAAATAAATTAAAACTTAAAACGGAAAGATTTTAGCCGAGGCGAGTAAAACTCTTTCCGCAAGAAGAATATGCCCCGTGTGGCAGCTAACGGTTCAGGCGTACTTCCCCAAAGATACAACGGCAAACGTCTCTAAATCTGTAGCACATCAGATTTACGAGCTCCGGTGAACTGAAACGGAGTCGAGAATTGAACACTTAAAATTATGAATAAAAATATCTCTCTTTTGTTATTTTGATAACAAATAAATATTTTAATATTTTTCTATTCTTTCTTTCTCTCTATCTTTCTCTTCTTTTCTTCTGTGTTTTCCTCCTTCTGCCGATCCCTCTATTTATAGTGATAAATTGATCAAGTTGGCCAAATATCCAACTGTTCCACGCAGTTTCCTCCTCACAGATTGCAATTATTAATTATTATTACAATTATTAAAGTGATTGCAGAATTGATTGGATGACCGATTTAATAACACTCAAATCACATGGAGGTTGAGGAATTTGTTGTCCTAACGTGGTAGTGGTTTTGGTTTGGTTGTGTGGTTTTGGTTTGGTTGTCCAAAACAATTAATAGTACACTCACAATTTTATAACATTATCTATACTCACCAGAGTGGTGGGGGGCAGATGATATGGGATATCATATCGGCATAATTATGTCATGTACGACCTAAGAACAGTTTCAACCACATCGAGTGAGCTGGTAGGTCGGACTAACAACAAGGACGTCAGAGGTCGTGGAGACACCAGGTCTATAGTGATCTCATAGGCAAAACAACACAACAACAGGTCGAACCAAGGCTCTCGATTAGCCTGATAAAAACTCAACCCGGAGGCGTATAGGTTAATGTACGACTTGGGAGATAAACTTACTTGTTGATCGAGCTAATAGATCAACTAATATCACGTTAGACTTCTTAATCAGGTAGGTTAATGTGAACACACCATATGATGGATAAAAAGTAATATAATTAAGATAAGAGGACACATGGATTGGACCATGTGGAGTGCATAATTGGACAATTTGGGCATCCCAGAAATACGATCAGGTAGCTCGTGCACTAGGGCAGCCTAATCGGACAATCTTGGGCAATAAGGTGACACCTGTATATAAAGAGGTGAAGTATGATCACCAAAACTCTACACAATCTGTTATACATACAATTACATACATTTTATCATCTTCTTCATCAGTTCTTACTTACTTAAGCATCAAAGCTTATACGTTAAACAACCATTGACACTGTTTTACAGGTCTTTCACCAGCTCGTAGACAAATCAAGAGACGTTCAATCAGATCGAGGTTGTTTGCACTCATAATATAGGATTATGAAGCTCAAAGATTAGAAATAAAATTAACAACTAGGCTCTAAAATTCTATAAGGATGTGAATGAAACTATCCAAGGTAATGACACCTCAAACGAATAGTGGAATATGTATAGGGAACCAAAAGTTGGTTGAAATTGATCCGTGACCACACTAGCAATAATGCGGTGATACGTAGCAATTAGCATTGAACACATGAATTTTTATAGGCTTTGATGTGAGACACAAAATCAGAAACAGAAACCATTAAGATAAGTAATAAAAACTGAAAATAGGGATCGATGTATTCATTTTAGTGCTCCATATCATATATATGGTGGACCTCATAGTAATAGTGGTGTAGTACACTGTACACGCGCATGGATAATCAAACACAACATATATATTATTTTTTAGACAAAAAAAACAACCCAAACAAATAGTGTATAATGAATTTGGAGAAATATATAAAGTTTATATAGGTCATAGATGTATATTTTTGTGTTTCCGAATCTCAAGAAAATGATTTTAGAAATAGAAGAATAACGATAAAATGAATCAAAGTCAAGACAAGTAAGATACGTACGTTATTTTTAAGACAAAATAACCTTATATATTATTCACATTTCACGACTAACGTCTTTAAGATACGATGACTTTTAATTTGTGTATAGAGGTAAATCAACCACACAAACACTCAGCGAACAATACTAAAGTTTTGAAACTCTCAGGATTGAAACGAACACAATGAACATAAGATACATTTATGAACTTCGTAAAAAGATGCAATAAGCTCTTAAAACGAGATATATCGAGTGATTTTAATTCATGACAGCTTATAGATGTTTTTACACATTTCTAGATGGTTCAAGGCATCCAAAGACACTTTACGCAATATGTCTATTCGTCCAAAACAGAGTAGGAACCTTTTTGGCTGGAGCAGCTGCGTTCGGGTCGTACTCGTCGCGTCCAATTGGATGGCAAAATCAGGAGTCGCGCTCGCGACGGGGCATGGCACATAGTTGCGCATGAGGAGCTCGCACGCGCTTGTTTGAATTCAAAATTATATTCCGTTTTTTCCTATTCATCCTCAAAGAACCTTCTAAAGTTCTAACATCCATAGTGTTTGATTATGACCTGTTTGTCTTGTCAAAACATTCGTCAGTAGTAGAATATTTGCAAATAATACGACATGTGGATTAATTACATAAACTCAAATTCTACAACATTTCAACTATATAATTAATTTATCATTTAACCTAAAATTATTTTGAAGTTTTATTTTTAATGTTCCATTTACAAAAAGTTGAACCTATAATCAATACAAGGTTTCAACCTATGACCGATAGGTCATGTGTTCGAATCATCAAGGAGGGGAAATGAGAACAATATTAATCTTTCTTGTAATAAAAAATAAAAAAAATCAATACAAAATTAATTTTCCNATATATATATATACATATATATAAAGGCAAAAATGGTTAGAAAAGACTGGATGGGTGTGGAGTCATGCAAAGCGCACCGTCTGGTTGCGACATGCGCTCCCACCACTCCCTGGCCCCTGCCTGCCTTCATTTCCTATACATTAAAAAAATAAAAGAAAATGTAAAATGCTGGTATTCCGGAATAGCCCCTGGAATTTAGCCGAAATTATGGAAACTGACCCGATACCCCTGCCTCTCCTTCCTATCAACAAATACAAGTACAGCTACTCATCTGATGACGGGTCAAAAGCCAATAAAAAAGATTGTCCTTTTGGTTTCACCCAACAATGTGCATTCATTATCTCATCTCCTATTATTATCCATCCCCTCAAATACACCAAACACAGAATTCTTTTTCACAAATCACATTTTTTTATTTTTCAGGGATGGATTAATCTTCAAAGCCAAACACCACCTATTTTATATTATACTAGTATACTACACACTGACACACATATATTATATATATATGTGCATGCTCCTCTACCCTTACTTTGCTTCTGTTTTTTCTCTCCTCACATTGTTCTTTTTCTCCACGGCAACCTCTCGCCTCTCTCTCTATTACCCTTCAAATAAAGCAATCAAAACCGACAGATACACACAGTTTTCTTATATATGCATATATCAGAGGCAGAGTTGGAAAGATAAACAATATCAAAGATTTATAGAGAAAAGTCATTCATGGCAGTTGATGCTCGCCGTCTGTTACTTTTCCCCAGCGACAGGTAGGTTCAGATTTTTTTTCTTCTTTTTTTTTCCATTTCTGAATTAGTGACTGGATCGCATTGGGGAAAACCAATTCACGATGCTCCTTCGATTTGATGAACGCAGAGGGGTAATGATGTTTGACGGAATTGAAGGCGCCGGCGTCGTGTACGGCGCGCCGGCGGCACTTTCTTCTGGAACGACGACGGAGACAATGGTTGGGATTTACGGTCCGGATGGCGTCCCGGCGATGAAATCCGACAGCGGCCTCTCCTACGCCGTGCCGGCGTCAAGGAAGCGTTCCAGAGATGCGATCAATTCTACGGCTGTTTCGAATCAGAGCCGCTGCGGCGTTCCTTTCACGTTTCTCGGCGAGGATTTCTCGTTTCAGCTCCAGCACCAGCAAGTGGAGATTGACCGTTTCATCACACAACACGTACGTACGTCTAATTAATGCGAATTAACAATTACGTTTTATTAATATTACTCCATTTTTATTTTAATTTTTGATAAATAACAGACGGAAAAGGTTCGATTGGAAGTGGAGGAACGGAGAAAGAGGTACACCCGGCGGATTGCGACGGCGGTGGAGGAGCACATAATGAAGAGACTGAGATCCAAGGAGGAGGAGATCCAGAAAATGGGGAAACTGAACTGGGCGCTCGCGGAGAAGGTGAAATCTCTGTGCGTGGAGAACCAGATATGGCGCGATTTGGCGCAGGCGAATGAGGCCACGGCTAACGCACTCAGGTGCAACCTTGAGAACGTGCTTGCTCAGGTCCAGAACGACGAGCCACGCGGCGACGCGGCGGCGGACGAAGCGCAGTCGTCGTGCTGCGGCAGCAACCCCGACGAGACGTCCCGTGTTCCCGAGGATGCATCGAGCAGGATGTGCCGGAGCTGTGGGAAAGAAGAGTCAAGCGTTCTGCTTCTGCCGTGCCGGCACCTCTGTCTCTGCGCACTCTGCGCCTCGTCTCTGCAAATGTGTCCCCTCTGTAACTCCACCCAAACCGCTACCCTTCACGTTAACCGAAACAATAAATAAATAAATACTAATAATAATAATAATAGTAATTGCTTGCTTTGTTTTTAGGCTATCAAGTGTAACTGAGGTTCGTCACTTTTTCGAATACCAAAGCAAAGAGTACAAGAATCACACCCACGCTAATCCACTAATCTCGTTAATTTTTTCCGCTAATCGACGTGGTTAAATTTGATTATTATATTATGAATTTTTTAATTCTTTTCATCGGGAGTGAAGACAAACATGTACATTATGACGGGGGTTATTGGGATGTGCGCAATTTAGCCAATAAAAGGCTCGACCGGCACAGGTTAGAAGTAATGGGTCACGAGAGGTGATGGGTTCACCGTTCACGCAAATGTCACTGTTGGGTGTCTGTCTGGGCATTGTTGCCACCCCCATAAAGGGCAGTGACTGACGGTGCACATTATTAAATGGCACCGACGCACGCGCAAGTTAGAAGAGAGAGAGAGAGAGATCATGATTCATGGGCCTGTGCTGTGGACTCCTTTCGCCTTTAAACCTTATTTTCATACTTTGGATTGGACAAAAATTCACAAAACGTATGATGGTGAAAAAGGACTGTTCTTACCGTATTTTTCGGGGCCATTGCGTACAATAAACGTTGCTCTATCTCATGCGGTCAAAGTACTCCTCATCTCATCTTTGCCAAGTTTGAAGATTCTTATTTATTAGCTTTTACGGTTTTGTTATGAAGTTAACAATTGGTCTTCTATATATACAACAGGTAAACTTACCATATTCTTTGATTATTTAAATAACACTAATATAAATTTATTAATATGATAAGTTTATTTGTTGTATATAGAAGGTTGACTCCACTAAGACCAACTGTTGGTTTCATAGCAAAACCGTTAACCTTTATTAGGTTAGTGTTGAGCTTTGAGCTAAATTAGGTAATAATGATGTCGAAAATGTATAATTTTTTTTTTTTACCATTTTTACGACTATTAAGAAGATCTAATTGACATTGACGGGTAGTATGATGCAAATTTTGATCAATAATCCAATTATATGGTTTTTGAACCCATAATTTAAGTTTTGGGAATTACTTAATGTAGTTACTTTTAAAAAATAAAATAAATTTACATATGTTTATATATAATTCGTCAAAAAATATGAGTTATTAAAAAATTCCGTAGTTGTATTTCAACATTCTATTTTTAAGGCCAATTTCTTTCCATAATTTTTATTTTATTTGTTTTTTTGAAAATTAATTATTACTTCCTTTTATATGCCAATTAGTAAAAGAGCTAATTATTTCTTTCCATAATATTTATTTTAACTAATAAAAAAATTATTTTAGTTGGAAATATTTGTGATTCTTCACTGCTCAATATAAGATAAAGATCTGAACGATTCTTATTAATAATATAAAAGTGGTTGTTTTAGACAATCTTAGTCAATATGCAAATAACTAACTCAAGAATAAAATCATAATCTTTATAACATGTATTTATTATATTAGAGAAGTTATAAAAAAATTACAGTTTCATGAGTTACTGTTTTGAAAGATGGGTCAATTATCAATTTGGGCCTCAAAAATAATTTCTATTTATTTGACATCTGAAAGATAAGAAACTAAAAATTATGTGCCTCAAACAATTAAATTTATCGATTCAGGGCTCATATATCAATTCAAGATTCTGAATGTAATTGAACGAAATATAATACAAAAACTCGATAAAAACTTAAAACGATATGAAAAATACGTGCAATTTTTTTATGTCATATCAGTTATAAAAATATAAAACTAATAAATAAAAATATTTCAATATAAACATAAATATATTTTGAAAAAAAAAATACCTTTTAAATATTACAACTGAAAACTTTAAATCATTCAAGTCCTAAATTGATAGATATTATCTTTCAAACTCCAAATTAATAATTAACCCGTCTTTCGAGTATCAAACTAGAGTATAAACTAATATCTTACATTAATAATTTCGACTGTGTTTGGATCATTGATTGAATACACATACAAATAACTGAATAAGTCTTCATCAATGATGATTGATAAATAAAATAAGTAAAAAAATAATCAGTATTAGACAATATAAAACTTTTTGTTTATATTAAAGATATGTGCATCGCACGGGTACTAATTTCGTTCTAACTGGACAATTTTTTTTACACAATGATATTCTCTTTTGATTTCTTATTCCATATCTTTTTGAAATTCTTATGCAAATAAATTAGTATTTACTCATTTTGAAACTAAATTATTATCATTATTATCTGTAAAAGATAGAAGGAAATATATAGGATTTTTTTATTTTTTTTTCTACCAGATCAATGTGGATTATGTTCACTTTTGATCTTATTAAATAATATCTTTTTTTATATTGAATGTACAAAATAAGAAGATATCCAAAATATGGATGCTTTCATTATCGTCCACTAGGAATAATAGCATGTTATGGACTACCAAATATCTTGCCCATTATTATTACGTTGAATTTTGTAGGTCGTAATGTCAATTTAAAAAGTTGATAAATTTAAGAAATTATGTTGGAATATCACTTGTGAATTGTCTCACATTAATTCTACAGGGTAAACGAGCCTAGTATATAAACTTAAGGGGCTACTCCTCCTATCACCAATTATTTTTGGGATGAAACGTACATCACTAAAGTACACCTAGGTTCACCCTCTTATGGTGCGGTTCACCTAGTGAGACCGCACCCTCTTCCCTCGATTCTATAAATCTAATATGGTATCAGAGCGGGCCTGTCCTAGGACTTGCAATGACTTTCTGTATCCGGCCTGCTCTGGACTTGGGCTTACTCTTTACCCGGCCCACTCTGTGGGTTTGGGCTTACGAAGGACTCACAAGTGAGGGAGAGTGTTGGAATATCACTTGTGAGCTGTCCCACATTGATTCTACGGGGTAAATGAGCATACTGGGCTACTCCTCTCATAATCAATTGGTTTCGAGATGGAACCTCACTAAGGTATACTTAGGTTCACCCTCTTATGCTGCGCTCACCTTCTTCCCCCGATTCTATAAATCTAATATGGTATCACTCGCCATATCATCGATCCGTTTTGATCTTGTTTTCCGCTGCTAATTCTTTGTTTCATGTCAATCTCAGAGACGATCTATAATTTTACTTTAATTTTTCAATTTCTATTGATTTTTCGATCTACTTTGCCATCGATCTATGGCACCAAATCTGAATCCTTCGGACGATTCAACTTCGCCATACTTCTTGCACGCCAGTCAAAACCCCGTCGCTCTAATTGTCACCGATCTTTTCAACGGCGAAAATTACGTTTTCTGGTCTCGCGCGGTGGTTATGGCCTTGAGCATTAAGAACAAAGGAAAGCTATGAATGAGATTAACACAATTAAACAATGAAACTAAAGAAACGTAAATGAATTTATTCGTTCATTGAATGATTAAAGGTAAATAATAATTTAATCGTTCATTGATTGATGAGTGATTGAAAGGTTAAAACATATAGTATTGTTTTTGAGTAATGCTATAGAGCCTACTTGGATGACAACTTGGGGTACAACTCAAGTGTAAATGCATTATTTTTAAATGGAAAAAGCTACTTGTACAATTTTTTTGATAATGCATTACAATTGTAACCCAAGTTGTCATCCAGATGGACTAAATAACATTGCTCATTGTTTTTAATTTTATTTGGTCTTAATGATAATTAAAATTTATTGAGAATTGTGTTTTGTGTGTGATGGTGCATTGCATATTTGCAAG